GAAGCATTGGCCATGTATTAGCCAAGTCAGGGCAAGCACTATGTTAAAGAGACAGCGAAACGGAACTCAGTATCAGAAGCATTGTGTGCATTTCAATAACACAAAATCCTAGTAGCCGGAATTGTATGTTTGAGTGCTGATGTTCCCACCGAGGCGTATAACGCGGTTACTAAGGTCTGGTCAGCACATTCACGATGACACTGTCGTTGTGAAACCAATCATTAATAGTCAACAAGGAAGTCACCTAGAATGGCGCAAGCAAATGCATAAGTACATATACATAGGTTTGCTGATATTATCCGGTAAATTTTGGGCGACTATTCGTCAAATTTAGTGGCACATAAAAGCGATGAAGTGGCAAGTTCGAAATTACCCAAAGCTGAGAATTTGTGGATGGTAATTTCGAGAATCAGAACAAAACCGTTGTCCGTTACTGCATATTTGACTATCCACAAAAATGCCTTGCCTAAAGGAGGTCAAGGAGGTCTAATTAGTACTGGACTAATGTGCCAGTGCTTGTTTCGCGAAGTGGCTGAAGTATTAATGATTAACGACTGCCTCATTACTTCAACCGGTGATGATTATTACAGCCTCGGTTGTCCTCGGGGACTGATACGTAGTCCTAATTTGATGGCAGAGCATCTGAATAGTTTAAGGACACACGCAGGTTTCAGAGAAAAAGTTGTGATCTAGAACATGGCTTGAACTTCAAGCATCTCGGGGAACAACGACTGCACAGAACTTTTCCTTAGTATATGCCAAGCAACCTTAAATTGCTTAGCGACGATTGACCCTACAGGCTCCAAAACAACAGTTGACCAAGCAGTGCGCTCGAAATAGACATACTAACAGTAAATTAAGGATGTGAAGGATTCAGTAAACTTTGGCTGTCAAAGAACACTATTTGATAAACTGAACGCATGAAAATAAACTACATTCAGCGATTGCAAGTAGTCTTACAGCACAGAATGATCAAGTCACAACCTCGTCAGTGGCGACGGTCTTCATTGTTTTACCAGCTAAGCAACTTCAGAGCACTGTGCTTTTAATAATCCGATAGCACTGGAGGAGGGACAATGATGAAGAGTAAATGTATAACTCATTTGCTCAATTACTTTAATTATATCATGCATGGCGCAGGAAAATTACGCTATTTTCCAACATTTGATGATGAACGTGAGCATAATAGACAATTCAAGTCTGAAAGTTGTATTGCTGTAAACACAGGTCAAAACGCGCGCATAATTACGGGTTTTGGCTACGGTTTAAGGTGGCGATCAATAGATCGACAGGCGGTCAGGAATGAGCATGTGTTGAGGCAAGGCTATCCACAACAGATTGGGTATCAAACACTTTTCAATCATTTGATGACCTGTACACTTAGGGCAGATCCTACTGACATGGTTCTAATGCACCTGAGAATTTAAGCAACTGTGCTCACTTTTTAAAGCTTATGAGTGCTGAAGTAGATAGTTTTATTTCGGGATAGTAAAGTAAATTCTCTTATCAACGATACCTACGGTATTATGTTCGCTGATCATTGAAGGAATTAGCTACAACAAAGTTGGCTTGACAGCTACGGCCCCACTTATTTCAAGCTCCTTAAGCTATCTCACCAGAGTGATAATCACTAGTTTTGCTTATTAACGACTAGTAAGCAAGGTGTTGAGCTATCAAGACGAACGACCGTAGAGAACAGAGTAAACTTGACAGTGCTTACGTACGGTTAGCACAAACTATCTTCCACTTCGATAGTCCCAGGTGTTAAATGTTAAGTGCAAATGATTACGGAAGTTAATTCTGTCAGCCAGAAGGTAAAATAGGCAGAATTGTTAAATTGAAAGCGATCTATGCGTATCTGCGCAGACCAAATATGAGTGCTCGGTTGGTCAGATGTATTACGTGTCCAGCATAGACTAATGGTCCCTTAATGGTTTTTGGCTGATTTTCAATATCTGGTAGCAAGTGCGTTTGGGAATTATAGGATATTATATACCACTTTGACATCGCCCAGTAGACGTCGATAACGCCCGATGTACATTACTAGAATGTTCAGCCTGAACTGGTAGACAGACAAACCGTAGAGGTTTTTTGTCGCCCTGCATTGTGCAGACTAATGCGTGATGAGGTGGGGCTTTTGTCGGGTCTGTCATGCCTAGATAGCATAGTATGCTTGTGGCCTTATGCATGCGCCAAGAATTTGCACAGATTACTGCGTCGAACTCCCGAATGCCCTACATTCTAGGCCGAACTGTTGATTTGTTTTCTTTGGTGTCTCATCGGTGTGCCTCAACCATCCTGTCATCTTAAACGGGGACACCGAGATCGGCAACATAAGAAGCTCGCTGTAGAATTTGTGGCCATAATGGCAGCTGTGAGTATCCTGATGGTGTATGCCCAGAATTTGAAAATAGCCACATTGCGTTGGAACATCTTCTCCATGGAGTATGAGCATTAACCGGATCATCGCGGACCCGTGTGAACTACCGTTGCGGTACTAGCATACCGTATTTCTCAAGCATTAACGAATAGTGGAAAATTTGAAGAGATAGCCCTCGTTGGGTCATTTATGAATATAGGAACAGGCGGGTCCAGAGCATCGAGCCCTGAGGTATACCTATTCGACCTCAAATGAGACGGTTATGATATTGTGTACCATCACCTTCAGAAGAACTTGAATGAGAAAGTTGTCTATCCAACCTAGAATTGATCACCTATTCCATAATCCTAAATGTAGTGAAGCAAAATACAATGATCCAAACAGTCGAATGTCTTTGAAAAATCCAGATGGGCAACATCTACCACTGTATCAGCATGGACAGACTCCGTCCAATATGCTCTAGCCATCAGTAGATTTGTAGTGAATGATAGGTTTTAGTGAAATGTGCGTTGTCTCATTACCAGAATTTTGGTACTCACCAGGTACCTCTTGAGTACCCCAGTGGCAATGGACTCCATGTTAACGGAGGTCGTCGGAAGTAGTGTTATCGGCCGATAATTTGTTGGTTCTGCCCGGTTACCATTTTGGAAGATTGGAGTGACGATCCCGTGACTCAAAACTTGGGAACCTGCATCTCATTGAGACATTGCGGGAGTGACATGATTACCGGTTCAGATAAACTCATTGCAGCCAATTTAACAGCCTATGTGTGAATGCTGTTAGCGTCAGGTGAGCTGTAGTTGCGCAAGAGGATGCGGTGCTTCCTGTCGTCCGAGATGATAGAAGGACATGTGATTAGGCCCTGAAGGCAGTGTGATCTATGTAGGAAGAATTTAAGATGACGGCACATGTTGAAAGGTGCGGATAAACTGTAGTCCGAGATGGTTGGCCGCTTCTTGTGCTCTGTACACAAGACCACAAGTTGTGTGCAAAGCAGTAACACGACGTCTAACTACGAAGTTTTGCTCGCGTCTATAAAGTATCTTGGGTTTGAAGCAAATTCTTATGGCTAAGTCCTGTTGGTACTTTACTCAAACCTACAGAAAGAGCTTCATGCAGTCGCTTATTTGCACAGTACAGACAACCAGGTATCCTTGTTCGGAAAAGCTATGCAAGCGTGCGAAGCCGGGTCCTTCAATACCATGCATTTCTGTTTTCAGCTCCTTCGGGACGACTTCACATTTATCGAAGGGTGAAATCTGGTCAATGATGCGCTTACTACTAGCTCGTCCAATCAATTGAAAAACTCCCTTTAGGTCCCCTCAGGCGACCGTTAGCTAGGAAAGACCAGCTAGGTGCTCCATTGCGATCAGACACTTTATCATATTTCTCACGACGGAAGAAGGTTTGGTGCTATCTTTAAGATATTCTGCGGAGCACATATAGCGGAACAGTAGCTTCGCATGGCAGCTGCGAGTAAAACGAGTGCACGTTGTTTATACGTCAATATGAGCTCATTTATTGTAAACAGGAGTTTCAAGATGACTGCTTTTTCTCCTATCCTCAGACGTGTGGGCAAGTTATGTGGTTGAACAAGCAATTAACCCCTGTTGCTGTGTCTTGAGTTGTTTACCGAGATTTGCTGGGGATTTTATGGCATCTAGGCTGTAATCCGCTAACAGGAGAACATGGCTGGAAGGTTGTGCCAGTAGGTCCTTCAGAGCGGAAGCTAGGGCCTCTTCCATTTCTAAAGTGCGCAGTGGTGGGAGGTACATAATTGCCACTAAGCACATATCATCCTGTCTTAAGTGTAGGCGGCAGCACAAGTCGTGTACGTTTTGAAACCTTTTATCGTTCATACAGATGAGATGTTTGTGTTTGGTAAGTCATTGGTGGCCTGGCTGCTTCAGACATATTTCTGACGGAAGTTTGAGGTGCAACTTTTGTTGATTTTCAAATATCATTTCAAGCATTTGTTTGGGGTGGAACATGACTTTCCGCACTCTTGAACCACATATCTGTAGTTGGATGATATGGGTAACCTGGAAGTCGAGTTAGCAATTACGTTGTGTATTAGGAATATAAATTCTCGACATTCAACCATCGACTACTCTCGGGAAATGTATGTCGAACAACTTTGAATCGTGTAATGTTTTGTTTACAATGGGCTCAAAAGCAATAAGAAATCGGATGTGATATAGGTTATAAATTTTCACACTTCCCGTTTCCACTGTCACAGCTGTCTGTTCCGTTGCGAACTGCGCGCAGAAACGCTTGATCAATTATTTTTACTGTTACTGCCTGGTGCCTGATGTGGTGCGCTTTCAAAATTAAGGTAACTTATGTCAAACAATACTAACTTTTAGCCGCTTATTCAATTCTTCACTTTTGGTCTACTCATGCACAAAAAGTGGAATACCACTAATGCCCATTGGACAAATCAATATAAGTCGTGCAGTAAAGTCGCTAGGTGCATACTGACGGTAAACGCGGGGTGAAAAATAGTCAGTCAATTTGGCAAAAATGGTGCACTGCTAGGGTGAGAATAAATAACAGAGGTACGTGCAAAAGGCAGGTGGGTGCACTGTCAAATGTCTGAGAAGCAGCTTTTGGGACTGACCTGTAAAATAGCGTAGAAGACACAAGTGAGAGGATTCGGGGTCAGCTTTCCCAATTCAAACGCATCCATACCCCAAAGATCCAACTTGGTGGATAAAAGCTGAAACGGATAATAGGTCAATATTTTTATCAACAAAACCCAAGAGAAACGTTATGCATACGCAGAGTAGTATATGTGCTGATACAGAATGCATGTCCCATGTACCAACGATACAAAGCCTAAACTAAGTACGTTGTACGTAAGCTAAACTAGAAACTACGAACAAATAAACCTAGACTTAACGCACGGTCTGGGCAGAAGAATAAAACAAAGTATTCTGTAACCATGGTTCTATGAGGCATGTTAAATACAGCGCATGACTTACAAATAAGTTTTGCCATCGAAGTGCAAGAGGGCAGAAAAAGTAGAGCATGCGGCGGAGTGCGACTATTTGGCAGGCTCACAATAACATACTAATATGAATGACTTTGCAACGTCAAGGATATGTTAAGGATCGAATGAAAACAATAAACATAAGATATGGTAACCGATCGTAGGACAAAGTAAAGCAATGTAAAAGCAGAATAATTAGGGAATAGAGATACCGTTCCTTCATGTAAGTTATTTAGATTGGGGATACATCAAAGTTCAAGATGACTTGATGCACTGGTAGCTCAGGTTGATCGTTCCTGAGTTCACTTGTTCTCCGAGCTTCGGAATTGGGATGTAAACGTTTCATCACCAAGCTAGGCGACTTCGTCAGTGCGATGCTGCGTCCAGCATCGCACTGACGAAGTCGCCTAGCTTGGTGATGAAACGTTTACATCCCAATCCCGAAGCTCGGCGAACAAGTGAACTCAGGATACATCGAAGTTCCTTTTGGACTTTACCTCCCCTACCATCCTTATTCATTTAATCCATAACCTTAACCTGTTCTTTATGTTTGATATGAATGCTCAACGAGTCTTAACTTTATTTTCCCGTTAAATACAAAACGAGATAGAGGAAACACGGTATGTAGCATAAAAACGCAAACAATCTTAAGAATAAACATAATAATCGCTAGTTCAGCTGTGTGGAGTAAGCCTTTGCAGAATTCAAGAATCTACAATTAAAAGAAGGTCTACTTTGTCCTATTAAAAAGCGAATTTATGCTAAAAAGTAAGATACATACTTAACAGAGACGTGAGAGTAAGCAGGCTAGATGAGGAATTTTCCAATGCCATATAATGCATAAGGAAATTCACTGATTCTATGAAGCATTCTACCTCTAATTACAAAAAGTAGTATGTCAGATATACACTGTAACGGCGCTTCGCGGCCACACGTGAGCTGAGTATACTGCGATGACGATTACCCCTATGCAGATTCGAACCGGTGACATGTTTGCAAGCCAGGCGTACAGACCATTCGGGCACCGGCCGGCCACATCTTACTTCTTTCTTGATTTACGCAACAAGGCACAATGGGTTTACGACAGTACGCGTGCTATGATGAAGCAAATATTTGTAAACATGAAACTGATTTTATTCATTCACTTTTTTCGAACACCTCATTTCCCTCCTCAGTTATTTACTGTGTCCATGGGGACCATATACACAACGGTAAGTTAGCCGAATTTTGTCCGTGATCATGTCTTACAGCACTGCTCTACCTTCCTTTTTCCTTCTGCCGTGCTTTACGAAGTAACATGGGTCTGTATCAAAACAGATGCAGTGATATGTCTTGAAGTCACGGTTTTATGTTCATCCAACCTTTTCTTTGTTATCGCTGTTTGGTTCTACCCAGCATTTACCTATGCAAACTTCAAAGCCTACCTTACAGCTTTTATGTCCACAGCCAAGCTGAAAAGTGAGGCAATTTGATTGCATTTTTTCGCATAGTCATTCTGATGCTACTATCCGTTTATGTTCATTCTCAAAAATAACGTCACCAAGAACGGAAAACTGAAGGCAAATGTACTTCCCACTAATTGGTTTATAGCTCACACACGCAGACAAGTTAACGCTGACCTCCAGTTGAAATACTTTAGCTAATAAGCCTGGTCTTGGTTAAGTAATATCGCTCATTTCTCTTTTTATCATTGCATACTCTCTCACCTGCATGCAGGGGAGCGTGCATGTGATTGATGCTGTCGATGAGGTAGGTCGTACTGATTTTAAACCACATGGACAGAAGTAGAATCCGGAAAATATTGCGTCGATATATGTCGAATTATGACTTGCGGACTAATTAAATTTTACATTATTGACTGTAGAGTGGCGCAATCGAACTACTTCTATTAGATGTCTACGTATACGAAGAGATACTTAAGTGACTACTAACCCGTACCCTTAACAGACACAGCCACTTACTTAGTTATTTACTGGAACAGCCTGATTAGAGTGAACAACCTTACGTACTAGCTTAGATTCGGATGCAGAAGGAGATCGTTGTCAGTCCGTCAATCAATCTCTAGCAGCAGTGTGCATCCTTCATTTTTCTGAGGGTTATCGGTCACCGTTTCGGTCACAGTCATGTTCATGATTCATGGTATGTAGTAAAACTGTCACTTCGTTATTTGGGACCACATCATTTGCTCAGCAAAATTAACCACCATTTGGAATTACGGCATTGCTACAGCTCCCAAACGAAAGAAATGATTACTATTGTTATCTATTCTAGTCACCACTTTCCACACTTAACCACTCATATGGACTACAGATCGATGTTGAGTAGTCCGCGACAAAAACCATTGAGCGCCATAGCTCTTTCCAAACGCACTATCTCTATACAAACAGCTAAACCCATTAATATGAATAAGATGGCGCGGAAAGTATACTGCCTGTCAGCAACATTTGGTACTACGGGAGATTACCGCTGATAAATGACTAGTTTTTCTCTTAATGAGCTTTGGGAAAGAATGTCTAACTCATGCTAGATTGCCATCTGGAGGCATTATTTGAACTAAAACACATAGCGAACACTGCTCGTCCTAGCATAGACTCACATAAAAGAATGAATCCAAAACTCGCTATAAATTTGAATCAGAGCTCGTTTGTGGAAAATGTGTGCTTCACCACTTTCGTCCTTAGGTCTCGCTTAACTCAAATCTGAATATTTAAGACAGCATTTATTAACCTCGAATTTCAGGCACAAGTTAGACGAATTTTTGTGGTCATGAAATATCTATAAACTGATTAGTCTGTACCAGCCTAATGTCCTGACTTCAAATAGAGATGGAGACGGTTGATATCTGTCATCTGTGCTCCCAAGCTGGTAGAATTCAAAGACCATGTGGACCGAGTGGTCATTTGGGTTTAGCATCTCACATGACTCCAGTGACCATTGTCTATAGGTATTTGCGCTACGTGCCAACTCTCAGAATACCTTCCAGCTATTTCACCTCTATGTGTTTATAAACTGGTTGCATAATGTTCACAAACCTCCCACTTATGGACTTACAGTCGATTTATAGATTTTGATAACTATTCCTCAGTGACTCCTCTGCTGTGGAGACACACTTGCTGAAAATATTCTGTATTTTTCTATATCCGTCATGACCATTATACAAGAACTATTAAGCTTCAGCTAATTTACCCGTATAAAACCAATGTTCCATTGTTCCGTTAACATGACCATGGCTTGTGTCAACGAAACGTCACGATAACGTCAGAGGATGCGTGGCAAGCTGCAAACTCACAGAGATCAAGAAAAATAAGTGAGAGAATTGTTTGGCGCTTTAACAATTGTTATGAAAGTCCGAGTAACTGAATAAGCAACATCCCGGACTCGCGTACACTGAGTCTCGCGTTCGACTCTTGGGTTTAGTCCGCGACTGGTAGTGGTTGCGCGACAGCGAAGCGCCTGCACCGTATGCCGGCGTACTGCTGACCAGCTGGTTGCCCCCACCTAACGCGTGGAGATATACATCCAAAAACACAAAACTACGTTGCTTTTTGTGCATTCAGCATCAAATCCAGAAACCTGTAGTAACGTGAATTTGTTAGGATTCAGATGACGATATTGAAACGCAAACTGCTCGTGATTAAACCACAGTGTCCATGGAATGAAACCGTTCAGATACACCGTCCAGGTTTATACCACATGATGTACACAAAATTCTAGTGCTCTGGATAATTGTTTCACTCCATTGTAAGAATCATATTTCCAAGCTATGCTGATGATATACACAAGAAACATTCTTCAGGCCTGCGTGGCGCAGACTTTCCAGGACACTTTGATTGACAAACGTAAATCCCTCACTATTTCTGCATCGACTGTTTCTTGTAAATTCGAGTTTTTCAGGTGCAGTATAAACGTAAGAAAAAATTTCCCATTTACGCAGTACCCAACATGAATTCACTCTAGGCGAGTAACAGGATACTTTGGCGCTGTTGTACATGATCTCAAAGTTGTGTGTTAATATGGAATAGTTCGCATCTCGTTGATGATTCTTGCTGATGCTCATGGTTGTGGGAAAGAAATGAATCGCTGTTTTTTACTGGTGTTAAGTGATATCTATGTTCTCTCCTTAAATAAATTGCACATCTACACACGTGAGTATTGAAGCATTTTGAAATGAGCTGCAAAAGGTAATAAGTTCTACGTGCCAACATCCTCCTCACATTAAAAAGTGAAAACGGATGCGAAGATATATTTGTTTGGGCAAACTGTGTAAGTACTTTTCCTTCGTCCCATTATATTCCGGATATTTGTCGGTCTACCCTATCCGAGCAGGTTAATCCCCCTACCGGTTAGGTCGTAACAGCGCTCTGCTGCCGTGCAGACACCACCAGTCACATGCAGACTGAGTATACAACGAGGACGCCCATCCCTACGTGGATTCGAACCCGCTCCGCAAGAATTTGAAACAAGTGCGTTACCTCTACGGGTCGGCCTGTATTTTATTAGAACAAAGACCCTGAAGAAGCGTTTTTAACAGAATGAGTGAAAATCGGTTTGGAGATAAACAACCAAATTTCGAATCCACAACTGCCTGTTTCCAGATCTTGACTAAAAGGTCGCATAGACGTTGAATAAATTCCACAAACGTAGGTTTACGTTTGGAGGAAAACTATAACAACAGATAATTGCTGACGATTCGCCCGCATGAGTGCATAAAGCATAACTTGATGTGC